GTGGCAAATGACAAGATTTCATCATTTTTTTTTACAGTGAATAGTAGTTCATTGTGGATATACAATACATCATCGTAATGTACTCATTTGCCCTTGGACACTTGGGTTGTTTCTATAACTTGGCTATTGTAAATAGTGCTGCAATGAATATTGGAGTCATATATTTCTTCAAATTAGTGGGGTTTTTTTGCATTATTCAGGGAGATACCTAGGGATGGAGTTGCTGTATCTACTGTACATCTATTTTTATTATTTTGAGAAACCTCCATTTATTTTTCATGGAGCTGATCCATTCTACATTCACCAACATGTACTTTGTTCATTTTTCTCCTTATCCTTGCCCACCCTTGTTTCAGGTTGTTTTGATAAGGCTGTTCTGAAAAATGTGAGGTGGTATCTTCTTGTGCTTTTGATTTTCATTCCACATTTTTTAAAATTTTATTTTTTTATTTTATATATTTCTTACATCATTTTTCATTTTTGCACAATATATGCATTTTCATCTTGGTTATAGTCCCCATACATTCCCACCCCCGCTTGTTTTGATTCTATTCCCTTCTCGCCCCTCTGTAGTGTGTCCCTGGTTTATAGTTACTTGTTGCTTGTTGATTTTTTACTTTATTATAACTAGTCTTTTTTCTGGTCCCTTATTTAGGTTTTCTACATTCCTGCTATGAGTGAGCCCATCTGGTATTTTTCTTTTTCTTTCTGGCTTATTTCACTGAGCATGATCCCTTCCAGCTCCATCCATGTTGCTACAAATTGCATGAGTTTATCTTTTTTGATTGCTCAGTAATATTTCATTGTGTGTATGGACCACATTTTAAATGCAAATGGCCAACAGGCATATGAAAAAATGTTCTACATCACTTACAAGCAGGGAACTGCAAATCAAAACTACCATGAGATACCATCTTACACCAATGAGAATGGCACATATTAAAAAAACTAGCAACAACAAATGTTGGCGAGGATATGGAGAACAAGGAACTCTCCTGCACTGTTGGTAGGAGTGAAAACTGGTCCAAGCACTGTGGAGAGCTGTATGGAGTTTCCTCAATCTTCTAAAGATGGAGCTTTTATATGATCTAGCAATTTCACTCCTAGGTATTTACCCAAAGGATACAGAAATGTTAATTTAAAAGGGCACCTGTACCCCTATGTTTATTGCAGCACTATTTACAATAGGTAAGCTATGGAAACAACCCAAATGCCCCAAAATAGATGACTGGATGATGGGCACTTTTTCATGTGCTACGTGTATTATCTTTGAAGAAGTGTCCATTTAGCTTTTGCCCCCATTTTTGATTGTTTTCTTTTTGTTGAATTGTGTGAGATCTTTGTAGATCTTAGCAATTGCTCCTTGTCACATATGTGATGTGGAAGTATTTTCTCCCATTTTGTAGGGCGTCTTCTCATTTTAATGGTAGTTTCTGTGACTGTGTAGTTTTTTTTAGTTTGGTGTGGTCCCATTTTTTTTTTTGTTTGCTTCCTTCTTTTTCCCTTACTATTGGAGTCCCCAAAGACATCACTGAGTTCAGTGTCAAGGAGTGTTTTGCTTATATTTCCTTATATATAGTTTATAGCTTCAGGTCAAAAAGCCATATTTATGGCTTTTATTTAGAGAGTGAACATATATGAGATATGACTGGCTATATTCCTTTTTGATCAAAATTTGTTTTTATCTCCTTTTTAATATTTTATAATTGAAAAGACATTGCATTATAGAATTATATAAGTTTTAGGTTTGTTTCATAAATCACTGTGTTTATGCTACATGAAGTTCACCACTAACAGTCCAGTTCTATCCTTCATGGTATCATTGACCCCTTTGATGTGGTTTACCCTCTCCCCTTCCTTCTTCCTTTCTGGGAACCACTAATATAATAATGAACTAAATTATTTATGAATTTTTGAAGCCCAGAATCCCACAGCAAGTAAGGACACCAGTAAGAAAGGGGCACCACAGTGTCTGAATTGCACAACGAGGTCTTGGGCACCAGAGCAGATCTATAGAAAAAAAATGGGTTTAGCCTTTTGTGAAATGTAGATTTCTGAGTCTTCTAAAGAACTTGTCTGAAAAACCCTACCCAGGTTGATATGCAACAGCATCTCTCATCTGGGCTGATTTTTTTTTTTCCCACTAGAGTACAAGGACATAGAGAATGACATTTCAAATTGTTTACTCATGTCCTCAGTTCTGAGGCACTTTGCCCATCAGAGAAAAGAGACACATAAAAATTAGGTTCTTGAAAGTAATTCCCAAGCTATTTAAATTACATGATTTACTGCTCTGTAAGAAAGGGTGGGAAGACTTAAAAAAATGTGACCGTTCCCCCTTCACTCTGAAACACCCTTTCTTTTTTTTAAGTATTTTTTTAAAGATTTATTTATTTATGCATACAAGAACTGGGGTATAGACCAGAGGTGCTAGTGGGTGAGAGGACTCACCAGAGACAGAGTGGGGAACAGAACAGGCAGACCGAGTGAATAACACTGCTGAGGTGAGCAGCGGGGGAGACAGGTCTGCTGCACCATGGGGGTTGCTCCCTGGACATGAGATTGCTCCCTGGTTGCAGATAGGTTCCCAGTGCTGTGCTTAACCCCTAGCGCCACCAGGGAGGCCCTGAAACACCCTTTCTGATCTCATAGTCTTACACTCATCTCAAGGCCTAGAGACTGAAATTGTGAATGACAGAATTTGGGTAGTCACAACTACGCTTCATTTGCTTAAATATCTCATTTCCTTCTTGAGTCTTATCATTCACACACAAAAAACTTGATGTTATTTTTATTTTGTTCTGTCTGAAATTAGAGAAGTTTCTTTCTTTCCCTGTCCTGAAAGACCAAATTAACCCCTCAGGATGCCATACACTCATCCTGAGAATATTAACTAGAATTCCCTGATGTTTTTTCACTGGGGTTCCAGAGAAAATCATGGCCTTTGGGTGACTTGGGCCCTTCACTCTTGCTCTGAGCACTCCCTTTCCCCTGGCTGGCTCTGAGGTGTGAAGATTGTAATCTCTCCTTCCTCTGTTGCTCCTCCTGCAACTCCAGCCTTGCTTCTCAGTGGCTTTCTTCTCAGTGGATGTGCACTAGCTCTCCTCCAAGCTAATTTCCCTCAGGTATAGAATTTCATTCCTGCTATTTGAGCAGTGGTGAGGCATTTGGGTCATTCTCCCAGAATTCATAGTACAATATTTCACAGGAGGATGCCAAAAAAGATGAGACTCATACCTGATTCTGTGTAACATCTGCAGCGGGAGCAGAAGTGTAAAAGTTTGAGCCTAGGGAAGAAACTCAATTTTAAGTTTGGTAGGTTGCCTGCTATGAGGGCCTGAGTCTCAATGTAACCCTACCTTTTTGGATATGCCCCAGAAATGTGTCTGAGGATATTAAAGAACACCTAGAACTCATGAAATAAGCTGAAGTGCATTCATTTATTCACCTCCAAGGAGGTGGGGCTCAGCCAATCGTGCCTGTTAAATGCATTTTCTTATTTTTCCAGTGTTTGCTAGATGTGTAATACATATGTATGAACATAAACACATACATATATCTGCCCCTCAGTAATCAACATGGTTGGTTTGTAATTTGCTGACTTTATGCAGACAGAAGTTTTTGGAATGAAAGTGTTAGCTATTTTACATCTCAAGACAAGTGACTAGGTGAGGACTGATCCTGCATTCCTTAACAGCAAATGACTCTGCAGGAGTTAGAAAGCAGAAACATACATGGAAATTATATATCCTCTGTAGGCAATTGACTCTCATTTGGAGTTGTTCTTTATGGCTGTTGTGGAATGGACCTTAAAGGCAAGATTGAAAAAATAAATCATCTTCAAAGAAACAAGCAAATGAATTTGAAATAAAATATGAACATGTCTCATTGTATTATAACGCTGCACACTGTTTATAGTGTAAGTAGTAAATAAAAAATAGTAAATAAAATAGTAAATAAATAGTAGTAAATAAAAATAACCCCAAAAAATAGTAATAAAAACTGGATTCATTGGTGGTTGAATAAGTAACTTTTAACTTTAATTCTTTATGTTCTGATCTTTTATGTCAGTCACAATGGACCCAAAATACATGAAGGACTTGAGCTGGTGATGACAGATTGTTACAGATGTGGATGGGTGTCTCCAAAGATATTCCTTCCCTGGTTTGCTCACATAACTGAATACCAGCATATTTAACTATTCTACAGTCCAGACACAGTGATTCCATGGATTTTTTGGGAGTGATGAAAATACAGGAGGGAACATGGGTATGTCGATATCTTGATTTTAACCCAGTTAAATATGTGCTGGACTTCTACAAAACACTAAGAGAACAAATCCGTATTGTGGTAAATCCTAACTTTGAGCTAATTTGTTAACAGCAGCCCTAGAATGCTAAGAATTAGACTTTCCACGCAATTAAGCCCAGGTAATTAAAGTGTAATATTTTTCTTAACAATTTTAATCAAATATATTTGGCATTTCTCTATAACATTATACAGGATACAGTAATCACAATTTGGCTTTCTTAATAATTGTGGGACATATTTTTGAATCAAAGGTTTGGACTGCAAGGACACAGGTTAGCTCTTGGGGCCAGTGACGTAGGAAGGACTGTTGGTCATTATACTAAGTAAACCTGCTCTGGTATTTTTTTTTTTAAGTTCCCTTTTCCCCTTGTGTAGGGTAAATGAAGATGCTCAGGCTTTTACACTCTGGCCTCTGTGGCTATCATCTGCGGCCTTGAATGCAGAAGGCACTTGGGAGCTGGGCTCAGGGCACGCATGCCTGATTGTGGATACCTGGAGTATGGTGTGGGCACGCGCAAGTGGGCACACCTGAGCCTGGAGGCTGAGGCTATAAGGGTGGCGTTATCCAGAGACAAGAAGACAAGGGCGGCAGAACAACTATGAGAGGACAAGTGACTACACAGAGGAAGAGACTATGAAGAATGCCAGAGCCCAAAGAAAGAGATCCCGTTAAGATTCATGGGGGGCTGGGAGGTCTGCCAGCTTCCTGGTCCCCCGGACAGCCCTGCCTGCCCTGTTGCCTGCCTGCACAACTTGTCATTTCTCTGCTGACTGTAAGTTTCAAACGGCCACCCACAATGCTGCTTATAACCTGTTTATAAACAAAATTGTTTAAAAAGTAGACTTAAATTATATTTAAATTCAGAAAATATATACTAAATTTCTCCTTCATTTACTATATTCTGAAAATTTTATATAGATAATTAAATCAATGAAATAGGCCTGTACATAAGGGGAAAATAACACCAATGGCCAGAAGGGGATTCAAATAGTGATCATCCCTTGACTGAGTAACCTCCTGTAGGGTAAAAGTGTCCGGCTTCTCTGCCCTCCCGCCATTAGGATAGATGACGGAACCCTGCGGTCCTGAATGCATGCCTGCTGGTGGGCACCTGGAGTAGGGTGTGGGCATATGTAGATAGGATTCATTTGGGCTAAGACTGGGCTTATAAGGGTGGCGTCACGGGGATGCCAGCAGAACCATGAGGAGAGCAGAGAAGCAGAACATGAGAGAATGCCAGAGAGCCCAGAAAGAGTGAAAACTTGCTGGAGGGCTGGGAGGCTGGCATGGCTCCCAGCGCCCCAGCTCCCCTGCCTGCCATGTGCCTGGTAAATCCCAATAAAAGCCTGCAAAAGCCACTGAGGGCTCCAGGACTCTCTCCCTCCTTTATGCCATCTGCTGGAATCATAGAAAACCTGCTCCGTGCCATTCCTGCCCCTACACCTCCAAATCTCCTAACAAGAGCTCAACTTCGGCTTTTTAAAAAATTCTGAATCTTGGGTCATACCCCAAGATTAAGCAGAATCTTTGGACGAGGATCCTAGGCATCTCCAGGAGATCTGGAAATACAGCCATGATAGAAGCAGTAGCTCAAACTAGCGATGTTTCATCTTCAGTATTTTTCTCCCACTTTACATGAAATTGAGAGCACTGGAATTTAGAACTTCCTGGATAAGAAGTGTATGTCGTAAAGGGCATAAAGATGTTGGCACTTTTTGCTGCTATTAGGAAGCAGGTGTGCATGATGCGATTACGTTGGAAAACTGAATTATGCCTCCACCTGAACAAAGGTGTTTTCTCAATAGTTCAAACTTACTCCATTGTTCATTGTGTTTCTTCACTAAAAAGAAGGGGGAACTTAGAAGGACAATGGATGAGGAAGCTTAGTAATTACTTACCTGTTTCAAGACACCTATGAATCACAGTGGGTGAACAAACACTGGCTACTCAGGAAGTTGGCTCTGATACAAAACTCATGGCTTCCGAAAACCAGTAATCATGAGACAATGAGCGGAAGCTGGGATTGTTTCTAAATGGGGAGAAAAATCCAATCCCAACAGAGAGACACTCCCCCGCGCCACCCCCTACACACACACACACACACACACACACACACGACTGTTTACATTTGAAGAACTTGATATACACAGAATATGAAAGGATCTTAATAAAGGAATGCTTAACAATATTTGAGGATGAAGGTCACAGCTGCATTCCATTTTCTCAATATTTCTGAAGTAATCCAAATTATGATATGCAACTAAATAAGTACAGATTGATTTTAACAAAGAGACAAGGGAAAGTTACTCCCCCCACCACCAGTAACGATTTTGTGTTTTGGCCTCTGCTCTATCACTACCTTTCAAAGTTATTATTCAGGGTGCACAGGTTAGCAGAGGGCTTTGTGTAGCTGAAACTGGTAAACATCTGGGAATCCAGGTGCTCGACATTTAAATTCTCTGTGGCAGAAGTGTTCCTTCATCATATGAAACTGTCACATTATTATTTTGCCTAATGATACCATCATTATCATATTCACTTGAGTGACAAAATGCCAGATTCATGCTCATCAATTTTCTACTGTGTCTTTCCAAATCAAAGAGCTTTTTCTTTTTAAATCTATCAAATTAGCATGGTGAGCTCAGGCAACAGAGAGAAGAGTTACAGTAGTGGCTTTCAAAAATGATATGCCAGTGTAGCCCATCCCTATAATTCAGGCATTAAATTTAGTACTGCCCAGATTTAGCCATTTAAGCTCGAATTGTTCTGAATTTAATTATGTGTATCAAGACAAATATTTAAGTGTGAAGATTTCAATCATAAGAAATAAGAAAAAGTAAACATAATTTAGAGGGAAAGGATAAAAAGAAATCATACCAACTGCTAACCTATATAATTCTAATTCCATTGACTGACTTAAAAGAGTAAATTTAATTTTCATGTATTTAAAAACAGTATTTTGTCGGCAAACATATCAAAGCAGGCATACTGAATATAAAGCACAGGAAAAATAGTTGTAGGCATTGAGATATCGCTACTGTGTTGAAATGTCTCTAATAATATAATAAACAATTTAGGGAAACTAAAGTAAGAAAAAAGAAGACAATTGTTAGGGCCTTACAGTTGAACTGGCAAGTTATTTGACCATTCAAAGTGATGTTTCAATACTACCTAACTCCTATATTTGTTGCAAGGATAAAAGTAAACATCTGGAACATAGTAAGTGCTCAGTACTATTTAGGAGTATTAATAGTAAGGATTATTATAATATATATTACATTATATTAAGTGATATTATATTGTCATTTTATAATGCAACATTACTTCCAGTTACAGATTTGAACATAACAGGGATGAGCAGACAAAAGGTATATAGATTTCATATGGATACTTCAATAACATTCTCATGAATAAAACCAAAACTTGTAGAAAGGTATCTTGGTGTGATGAATTTATAACTAGAAATAGATGACTATCCCTTAGATAACTAGTTGGCTTCAATGAAGTTAAACTAACTAAATAGGATTTGCTTCAGCTCAGCTTAATGGCACCATCCAAACATCCACCCAGTCATATAAGTAGAGATCTCTTGGGCATCTGAGATACTTTGCATTCCCTCCCTGTGCCTCACAGTGGTCATATTGCCTTGTTCAACTGTTCTCCATGGGGCTTACAGACACTATAAGAACATTTCATATAAAATGCTTAGCATAATATCTATTATATTTTTAGTGTCCCATGTCTGGTAGATCAGAGGTTATCTCCTCTGTATTTGTGTGTGCGTGTGTGTGTGTGTCTGTGCTTTAATTTTCCCTTCAAGTATAATTTCCAGCATAATTCCAAAGGAAGTATAAAGAATAAGAAGGGGCATATGTATATAAAGTGGTAAGATCTATGTCCATCCTACATGTTTTATCCCATCCAACATCTACCTAAAGTCAAAACAAACAGTTCATTCAACAATTACATACCCTTTTCATTATATAAATTAGATTTATAAAATCAAATTTAATTTCTGTTTTAGTTTCCTGAAAAATTCCCTTCATAAATAATATTTATTCATTTACTTAAAATATTTTAACATTTGTTTAGTGATAGCTACTGTGTCTACATTTCAGATGTGTGATACAGCAGTGAAACACAAAGGACCCTTCCTGGCTTACATCCTAGGGGAGGGAGATAAGCAATAAACCAGCAAATCTAGAGTGTATCAGATAGTGACTAATATAATAGAGAAAAATAAAGCAGGTTGGGGACTTAGAGGGTATGGAATTATCATTATTATTATTTCACACAGACTGCTGCTCCCCTACCTGGCAGACCTAGTCTGTTCCATGGCAGAGAGGAGGAGATGTGACTGCAGATACCTGGGTCTCTCAATATTATACACTAGGATGGAGGCAGATTAGCAGGGACTGTCAAATGCAGCACATAGCAGAAACAGTAGTCCTGTTTGTCAGGAATTCTGAGAATATAGCAATATGTAATATAGAAGAAATACTAAAGGACATCGAATGATGTACCCCAATACCCCCTAACACAGTTGATTTCCCAGATATGAAGATCTGAAAAGACAGAATGAAAGATGACTTTAAGTTAATGTTATAATGGGTACTTAAAAATTGATTGCATTGATTAACTAGAAGAGATTCTGTATTTTCCATAGAGTAATCTATCTATTGAGGTCTGACTTATGAGGTGGAGGTGTCCATTGAGGAGGGTACAGAGGGAGAGGGCAGTGAAAGCTTCTGTGGAAGAGAATTCTAGGCAGAGAGAACAATAAGAACAAAGTCCCAGAGGCAGGAACATATTCTAATTGCTTTATGAGTAGCAAGAAGACCTACGAATGACATGAGATCAGAAAATGAGGCGTGGGTTGGAGATTGGCAGCACACAGAGAGTCTTTGGGTCAGTTTAGAGACTGGCTTTTATTTTGATAAAAGTAGGGAGCCAGTGGAGGTTTTTTGATTGATGTATTCAAAGGATCTCTCCCACTAAACTATAGAGAATAACCTGGAGGGAGTTGGCATTGGGGGAGAGGATGGAAGCAGGGAGTCCTATCAGGAGATAATGATCCAGTGAGAGTTGAAGGTGGCTTGGAGTAGCTTGAAGACTTTGGAAGTAGTGAAAGAAAGTGATGATCATGCTTTGGATGTAGTTTCAAGAGAGAGCTGGCAGGATTTACTGCTGGGTCAGCTTGTCACAGATTACAAGATATTGCACATTCTCATTAACCACTCCTGACAAAGGCAAGAAGGGGTTGTTAAACCTACTTTGCATAATAGAAAATTGATAATCTGAAGCATTAATGTGGGTTATTGTGGGTACAAAGTCTCAAGCAGTCTCATTAGGGCAGAGGTGTGGTCCTGAACTTAGGTGTTTTTATTTCCAACCGTCTCCTCCTATAAGGAGCCTCTTTCCCCAAGAATTCTCAGAAGGCCCATTCAGCATGTTTTATCCCATCCAATATCTGTCTAAGGTCAAAACAAACATTTAATAGTGCCTTCCTGTTACATACATTATGTCTTAAAGAATTTCAAGACTTCTTGCATGAAAGCTTCTTAGTGCACTGGAGAGAACATTCAAACTCCTTGAGATGGTTCACCATCTTCATGTGGTGATGCATTTTTGCAGTTTTCTGGCTTCACCTGTAGTTGAACTCCAGACCTGCACCCTCTCACTCCCAATGCACACCACATATCTGCACCACACACACACACACATGCACACAAGCATTCATGAAATCACCTTAACCTTATTAGGTGTAGTTGCCTAGTTAATAAAACAACTCAAGTGTGTATTTTCTAAGCTAAAGGGAGAAAGGGCAAAATGTGGCACTTGTAGACCAAAACAGAAAGTATCAATTAGTCCTCTCAGAAAATAGTTATTAAAACCTGAGATATCACAAAGATATCCCTTTTGGTTATATTGTTATCTTGTTGGTACAAAGGAACTTTGGGTTTGTATTTTTAAGACATTTCTGGAAAGAGCTGGTGAGGGAAAGAGAACGTGAGGGTCTCTGGAGCCAGGGAGAGTTTTAAGAAGGCAAGCTTTTCCTTGAACATAATTAGAATTTAAACAGCACGGTGCTGGTTTTTCTCCTCACTCTCATGGTTGAGGAATAAATGAAAATTAACAGCATCTTTACTGGGATCACACATAAAGTGATTTCAGCTTAGTACCTTATAAAATCAAGTTAATTTCCATTCCTGGGATAAACAGTCTCTTAAAGGCCTGTGAGTGAAAACGCTAATACCATCTCTGGCAATTCTGTTCACTCTAGGTCCTATTTGCTTTTTTTTTAATAAAAGCCAGCACGGGAAAGGAGGGGTAATTGTTTAGTCTCCAGACAACCTTTCAGACTCTCTCTCTGTGATTTAGAAACCCGGGTACCTCTGTAAAGAGCCAGAGGGAACTGGTTTCCTGCAGGGGTTTGGCATAAGGATGCCTTTCTCCCCAAGCCATCATGGTGCCAATAGAAGGCAATTTGACTGGATTGACTTTATCAGGAATTGGGTTAGAAAGTATTTCAGTATCTTCACCCCCTACAGCGAGTGGGAAAGTGTCCCAGCAACTAATGGTTATTACTTATGTGTATAACTCTTCATCCTTCATTTTCTATTCTGTAAAATGAATCTGAGTAGTTGGCTTGAAGTTACAGAGAGAATAGGTTGCACGCAGGTTTCCAGATCCATCGACTCTCTGCCTGGTTTCTGAACACAATGAAATTGATTCTGTTCCTCCAGCACTTTGTTTCTCTTGGCTTATGCATAATAAGTCACTTCTGAAAAATGGCAAGTCCTACATTAGGATCAATCAGTGAAATGATTTTCAACCTCAGTGGTTCCATAATAGTGATTTTCAAAGGAAAATGCAAGTGTGACCTTGTGGCAGAAAAGCAATAAAATACTAATTTCCTAATGTACAAAACAAATAGATGGGAGGTGTGGTCAGTCAGTGATGGAATACAAAGAAACTATTCCTTCCCCGGAGTCATTTGGGACCCAGGCTGGGGAGGGTGTAATTCCCTGCCTTTTGATTTGGGGATCTATGTGTGCCTTGCTTTGGCTAAGATGAGCATTGGCTGACTTGAAAGGTGGATTCAATCTTGGCCTTGATCTCTTACATTTCTCCCAGGATACTGCTGTCCCTTCAGCCTGGGCCTCAGAATGACATGTAGAAAAGACAAGATCTAACCATGAGTGCAGTCTGGCCTAAGCCAACCATCTGCTCACCTCTGTGAATGTGTCCCTTGTTTAGATTCATATATTTCTGGGCGGTTGTGCAACAATATTTAATAATAACAAATATTAATTGGATACTTACTGTTTAAGGGTGCTAGACATCTATTATCTCATTTAATTATTACCTTAAATCTCTGGGCTAGATATTATCCAAATTTTGAAAGAAGTTTATATTAGTATCAGAGTCAACATTGGAGCCCAGCCTTTTAGACCCTGATACTCTACAATGCTTGTAGAATAAAATTATTCATTAAAATGAATAAATTGGAGCTGTACCTTAAGTATAACCTTTTTGTTAAGACCTACAAACCATGTATCATCTTCCCTTCTCCTTTATATCATTTCATTTTCCTAGTGCAGCTCTGTCTACACTAACTTGCCTCCAGAATCCAAAAATTTCTAGGCTTCGATCCATCTCAAGCTTTCAAGATATTTTTATCGTGATGGGACATATTTCTCTCTTGTTTTCATGGCTGACCTTTTCTATCCTTTGGTTTTCAGAATTTTCTACCTGACCACCCCGAAGTAGTCTTCTCTTCGTTATTTTCTCTCTATCACCCTGCTTGTTTTCCTCATAGCATTGCCACAGTTTTAAATTATTTTAGGTACAAATATAGAAATAAATTTCCCTCAACAAATGCAGTTCCACCTGGAAAGGACATGTTGGCCTTGCACTGTGGCATCCAGGGCATCCACTACAATGTCTTGCACATAGAAGCTGTGCAATGGATTCTAATAGAATGGATGAATTAACAGAGGAGTTATGGGGCAGAGATATAGATTGGGGAGTGGAGAACTGCAATGTTTGCTAGACTTTGTGGACAGGAACCCTGAATAGTCACAGACAGAGTCAGGGTCTGGGAGGGGAGCAGAGGACATGAGTGAAGAAGGTAGAAATAAGGGCAAGATTGTCAGTAACAAACTCTGGCCACTTTGCAAGTCCATGTAGCATCTGTCCTGGCACTCAAGAGTCTTTATTCCATGAGATACTGCAAACCAGAATGTATACTATAGAAAACACATATGAGTATGATGCCTTTTTTCATTTGAGCTGTGTCTTTCATTTTCTTAGGGTTAGAAAAGAGGTTAACATAAGAAACAAAAAGGAAAAATCACACAGTAACAGATGTAAGGGGAGCAAGGGAACTACACCGAGCACGACCTTCTGTGAGTGGTCTCCTCTGGCCTCCACACACACACAGGCTCCCGAGGAGACTCAAGAGGGAAGTTTGGACAGAGGCCAGAATATTGACAGGTCTCTGTGGGGTACAATCAATAGATCACAGGGGCAAGAAAACCAAACAAGGTCTCGAGACAATGACATGTGACTGGGTTCTGAAGAGTTGTTTTCATGCTGGCGGCATACAATAGGGATAGGACAGAATTCTAAATCCACTTGTGCAGTGAGATAAAAATGGATACTCAAAAACATTATTTTAAATTAAACCTTGTTTCTGATACCTAGGCATACAAGTCATGAATTGTTTATCCAATGTATTGCTGGTATGATGTGTGAGGGCCATAAGAACGATAGTCTGTTCCTGTTTTTCAGAATACACGTTGGTAATATTAAATCTATTGATTGATTTGTCCAACAAACATTATTAAGCTTCTTCTATCTTAGACACTTCAAAATATTATGATTAAAGGAGTGAAGATTTCTGAACTTATAAAGGAGCGTTAGAGTATCTCCTTCTTACCTTCCTTAAAGAAAGGAGAACCCTAGAGTATTCCACTTTATTTTCCCTAAGAGCAATTTAACAACTTGGTGACATGATGCAATATAAGAATGGAATATGATAGTTTAAAAATGAAGATGGAAAAACGAAAAAAATTAATTTATGATCTGTGACTATTTTTAGCCTATGAAACACATTGTTGGTATGCATGTGTTTAGGAGCTTGGCACTATTGTCCCCCCCCCCATTTTATATATATAGAAACTGAGACACAGGAGCTTAAAGAAATTGTCATTATCATCCAACTAAGACTTTGAAGCAGCAGGTCTCCAGCCAGGGCAGACTGGCTCCAGAGCCCATTAGAGATAACATCACAAATTTACCAAATTCTATAGAGTATATTGATACTTTTTTTTTTTAGAGGCATGTTTTTTATTTTATTTATTTTATTTATTTATTTGTTTGTTCATTTTGTTTATACATGCACTGGGTACAGTCAGAAGCTCGGGAGGGTGAGAGAATTCACCAGAGCCAGAGCAGGGAGCAGAGCAGGCAGAAGGACCGAAGTACACTGCTTGAGGGGAGCAGCGGGCGGCAGGAGAGGTCTGCGCGCCATGTGGGACCCTCCTCCCGTGGCCGGGGAGCAGCCGGGGATCGAACCAGTGCCGCAGAGGCTGTGGGCAGCTTTGCAACCCAGCGCTCAACCGCTGCGCCACCGGGGAGGCCCGAGTATATTGATACTTTTAAGAAACTTGTAGAATCCCCTAATTGAGCAAGAAATCCTTTAATCCCTTGTATGTGGCAATTCCACTGAATGAGATGTCTGTCATCTTTGTCCCTAAGATTCCTTAATTCCTTAAGATTCATCCTAGAAGCAACACCTCCAGAAAGTAGCTCTGGAGGTGTTTGTTTTTCTCTTATGTTCTAATTGCTTCTTGTTCCCATGTCATTCACATTCGGCACAGAGTTCTATAGGTTATTTGCTTGTGTCTCTTCCTCAGAAAATGAATATCTTAAAGGCAGGTATAATGTCTTTATTCTTAATAAAGAAGGTTCCTGATAAAGGAGGTTCTTAATAAAGGTCAGTTGTGAGGGTAAGTGAGATAGACACAAGGGTAAAATAGGTGATTGGTGCTTGAAAAAAATTCCCTATTATCATCTTTTCCACTTGATTTTTATACATATTGCATCATCTAATAAGCTTATTTCAAATTTGTCTTTCAGGTGGGAGCCATCAGAGCTCTGGCCTACCCATGGTCTTTCCTGTTGTAGCCTGTCTTTCTGGAGTGCTTCTCAGTCCTAATCTTTCCATAACTGGCTTCTTCACCTTGCTTCACCATTCTCCAGGTAAGCCTTGTCTGGCTTCGTATAGGCTCCACCATTATCATCTTCCAGTGCCTCCCTGTTTGTATCTGGAGTATTGTATCAGGATAATCCATGAAGGGAGTTTACATTGGGTGGTATTGAAGAATCAAAATAAGGAGAGGTATTACATTTTGAATTCTTTGTTTTTCTCTCTCAGGCATTTGAAAAAGGAGCTCTCACTCTGTTGTCAAGAGGGAAATTAAGCTTTTGAGGTTGGGAACTGAAGAATAGAACATTTCCAAATGTTTCCAAAGTATGGGGAAGAACAGAAAAATGTGAGCTCACAGGCACTGAGGTCCTCTTCATACCTGTTCCAGTATTTCAGGGAAGGTTCAGAGTTCTAGGGAACAGGGCTCTGTAGCAATTCTCTAGGAATGTTGGACCCTTGAAACTGCACCTATTGCCTCAACCAAGTTTCAAGTTCAAGTGTACCATAGGGGCAGCAAGTTTTCTACCCTTTTGAGATCATGTGGACTCAACAATGACCACAGCATTCAGTCCCAGCTATGTTGGCCTGAAGGCTGTAGGTTTCTCCTCCATATTCCAGGCAACTCAAAAGCTTCCTGGGAAGTTCTTTTCCTAGGGAAAAGGAGGAAGTAGCCCTTTGAAATAACTGAGAACAAGTTTCTCACCAGCTTGATAGGTTTGGTGAGAGTTGGCTTTATTTTCTTTGAAGAAACAAATTAATCTGTCATTTCAAGCTCACTTGCCATTCTATATTTGGGATTTTTTTTTTCCACTTGTTTTTTTGTTTGTTTGTTTGTTTGTTTGTCTTACAGACTATAAATTCCATGAGGGCAATATCTTGTTTCCAAAAAAAAATCTGAAAATTTACATTTCATATTTGATAACAACCTAAAATACTCATAGCAAATGTTGCATCCATTTCTGCAAGAACCTAGTAAAAAGTCATAGTCATCTGCTTCTCATTTCTCTATAATGGGCTCTCTTGACCCAAAGAAAACTCTCACTATTCCTGAGGACAACACTGGTTATGGGGAGGAAAATGACATTTTCCTCTATACTTTAGCAATAAAAGTGAGGATACAAGTCAGGGGTTGAGACAAAGACTGTAACTGACTGGGGTGCTCTCTCTCTCTCTGCCTGTCTGTCTCTCTCTCTCTATCTCTCTCTCTGCCTGTCTGAATCTGTCTGTCTCTCTGTCTCTGTCTCTCTCTCTGTCACTCTCTCTCTCTTTCATGGTGGTGAGGTTGGAGTCAGACAGGGTAGAGATGAAAGGAGAGGAAGGGCATTTTTCAAAATTTACAAATTACTAGTAAAAATGAAATGGTCTTTTGACACTCTGAAGTAGGCCATTGTAGAGAAAAAAATCATTTGTTTCCCTTTCACTTTTGGCATTGTAAATGAATATCCCTTTAGGAAAATTCTATGTGGAAACTCAGAGAATTCATCACTTTATTCATTCATTGTGACAGGACTGAAAATGACTGTATAGAAAACAAGGCAATATGAGTTGGATTTTTTTTTTATTTCTCATAACTTACATTTTCCCCCTCTGCCAACATGGTATCTGTTAACAAGTATGTATTAAGCTCTCATTGTGGTTTTTGTTTTGCTTAAAGTAACTGTCTGGAGATAAGAGGGAAGGAGGTTAGAATACAGACACAGAACTAATAAGACTCTATTATTTGGTATCAACCCAGCTGATGTTTTTACTATAACTAGAGAACATTTGTATAGGCCTTTGTCAAAGTCCAGATCCTGAAGTCATGAAGACAAAAAGTACAGAAGGAACATAAATATTAGATAAATAAATAGAAGATAGTTTCCAGGCCATGCTTTTGGTTCTCCAGATACTACTTTGGGAAAGGTTTTTACTGATAAATAAACATGCATGGAAACCTACCATGAGAAGAATACCAATTAATAAATAAGTAACAGTTAACAATCATACAAGAAGATTATTTCTTACAACAAACATTTGCAAATGAGTTATTTGGTATTTTAATTTATATTGGATCATAAAATTATAGGCAAAGTTAAGTTCTGGCCAGCTGTTAAGTGGTTATATTTTTCTTTTTTTTAAAATAAATTTTATTTTTATATTCTCCATACAATTGCAACCCCCTTATTTTGACCCCAATCCCTCCCCTGCCTGCCCCCACCCCCCATAGAGTGTCTCTGGTTCATATTTTTTGTTGATTTTGATTTTCACTTTCTTACAGTTATTCATTTTTCTGGTCCCTTATTTAAGTTTTCTAGATTCCTGCTATGAGTGAGACCATCCAGTATTTTTCTTTTTCTTTCTGGCTTATTTCACTGAGCATGATCCCTTCCAGCGCCATCCATGTTGCTGCAAATTGCATGTGTTTATCTTTTTTGAATGCTGAGTAATATTCCATGGTGTATATGGACCACATCTTCTTGATCCAGTCATCTATTTTGGGGCATTTGGGTTATTTCCAAAGCTTAGCTATTGTAAACAGTGCTGCTATAAACATAGGGGTGCAGGTGTTCTTTGGAATTGATGTTTCTGTGTCCTTTGGGTAAATACCTAGGAGTGGAATTGCTGGATCATATGGAAGCTCTATGTTTAGTAGGTCCAGAAATCTCCACACAGCTCTCCATAGTGGTTGGACCAGTTTGCACTCCCTAAGTGATTATATCTTTAAAGTCAATTTGGAAAAGGGGAGCACAGAGCTATTAATAGAATTGTGGAAGGATGGAGTAGAATAGAATGATTAAATAAAACCAACCCCTAGTGATATCAGTTCCCATGACCAAAAATTCTTCCATTTGTGCCTGCTATCCAGCATAAATGTTAGTACTTTCTCATTAACTGATGTTTGGGATAAAATATTATATCAACTTGTAGATCATAATGCCCATCATGAAGTGCCCTCAATTTGAAGAAGACAGATCGTTTTTCATTTCTACTGACTTGTATTTGTTGAACAACCACTATAGAGTCAGCAATAATGATAATAATAATCATAGCAGTAATTTTAGCAGGTAATGTTTATTTTGTAATTACTACATTCTGAGTAAGACCCTGGACACTTTCCATGCAATAGCTCATTTAATTTTCACAACAATCCTGTGGAGCAAATACTCTCATCATTCAACAGATTTAAGAAAAAAAATGAATGGAAGCAAAAAGTAACTAATAAGTAGTTTGGCCAAGATCACGCACATATGTGTTGAATTCAGTGTTCAATAGACATTTTTATTCCAGAACCTATTTCCTTAAATATTTCTGTTATCAAGAAGCTTAATAACACAATAATTAGACTAGGAAGTATGACATAGCACCTGTAATAGACCACATGGGGTAATTAATAAGAAACAAATGAAGTGCTTTGCCTATTTTCCAGTGCTTTTTTTTCATCTGTGGAACACAGACTTATTGCAAGAAGTTTACATAAAGTTATACAAAATATAAAACATTGTGAATGGAATAAATAATATGCTTCATATCTGCTATACTTTTATGATTAATAAATTGCCTTAAATTAAAAGCAGTAGAGAACCCAAGTAGTTTCTTTTCTCAGTTTGAAGATATTTTTCTTAAATCCACATTATTTCAAGTTTATATGTGGCCAGGGGCAAGGGAGTTACAAGAAAATCAATAAAAGTTGAATAAAGGAATTTGCTGAACATCAGCATAAACCCAGTTGAGGTTGGTGAGAGCTAAGTAGATGTCTAGTCCCATTTGACTGTTATCAGATTTTATAATACCACCAGTATTGGCATGTCAGATAAGCAGATAAGCAGATAAGCTGGGAATGTATTATTAAGGGTGGGAATGCCAGAATAGCAAGGGACATGACTTGAGATAGTGGTGAGAACATCATGGAGGATCCAGCAATGGCATAATGTGTCATACAAATTGAGTTGGTAGAATCAATAAAAAATGGAAGGATAATGGGTTTAAAAGTAGGTACAAAGAATACCTGTAGATGTTCAAGAGGTCAGGAAGTGAAGGTGTCCTAGGTTAAGGAGTTCATGGAAGTCCAGGTTAGGGAAGCATCAAATTCTGGGTGCTATTAACTGAATGTTCATGTTTCTCCAGAATTTGTATGTTGAAGCCCTAACCTATCATGGGGTGGTATTTTGAGGTGGGGCATTTGGGAGGTAGATAGATTATGAAGGTGCAGCCCTCGTGAATGGAACCGGTGCCCTTATAAGAAGAGATAGGACAGAGATAATCCTCCTATCCATCATGTGAGCATGTAGAAGAAGGGCACCATCAGTTTACCATGAAATGAGTAAGGTTTTCACCAGATCCCCACCATGCTGGCACCCTGATATTCCTAGCTTCCAGACTGAGAAATAAATATTTGTGTTTAAGTCACCCATTTATGTTACAGAAGTCCAAGGTGACTTAGATGTTTAGAAGAAACAGTGTCTGCCTTTGGAGAAGCCTGTGTTTTTCTGGGCTGGCCTGGAGATGATCAAATTCATTCTCTGTAGGGGACATAATGATTACTAGTGATTAAGTGAGGTGATGATGTGTATATAAGTTTAGAACAACATCAAGCACATAGTAAATGCTTACCAGTGACTGTTCAACAGTTCGTACTGAAGAATGTAACATATATTGATATTATGGTGGAATCTGGAGATGCCAAGACAAGCTTGGAAAGATAAGTAAAAAAACATGAATGGATTGTTGAAGACATGGAGAAGACAAAAGTGTGCCAAACAGGACAGGACAGCAGAAACAAGCAGGTGCTAGTAGGTGGCAGTGATAGTAGTGATTGGGAGGAGAATTTAAATAGGTAGTTGCTTAAAATAGAGAGTAAAACCCTCCAGAACACTCACAAAATCCTTTGGGAAGTTTGCATCCTTTTTTTCTTGATAGCTTTATTTGGTTTTCCCAGAAATGCTTTGGATAACATATCCATCCCTTTAAAGTCCAGTTTTATTCATGTTGAATTATCTATAGTAAAAGGTGAACAGTGGGAACATTTATAACAAGTTCAAAGAACAAATAAATGAAGTGATTTTGGGCACTGATATTCCACATTGTTTTTGAGATGTTTTGTGATCATTTTCTACTTTGTTTGCCTTGGGATGTGGTGACTGTTCTTAATTATCATCGTCAGGATGATGAAAGAGTTTCATATCACAGGTGTTGACAGCAAACAAATCTATGGCTTCAGAAAAGGAAGTTGCATTCTGAAGACAAATGAAAGTTTGCTAAAGCAGAATAGCTAGTGTAAA